GCAGACTGGATCAAACTGAGGTGGAGATAGAGTCAAACAGCTGAAGAGATTTAGAAAGCACATTGAAAAGTTGCTCTGCTTTGATAAAGATGTGACAGACGTGACTTTTGGAAGGTGAGGCAGATTCGGTTTCAATCATTTTTGCTCCACCAGAGCTAATTACTGGGTTGGAGTTGGTTAATGACAGCACTGAGCATTTGTGCTTTCCAGACACGGATATCAGGGAGTTTGGAGCCAGCACAGGATGTTCAGTTCCGTTACTTGACAGCTGGGAAGGTACATTTCACCTGGGTAAACTCACACCAGCACATCAGGCTGGGTGGGGAAGTCACCCACGGGAAGCTGCAGCAATTTTTAAATTCAGGCAAGAAGAAAAACGCCTCCAGTTTCACTTTTAGCTCCAGCTGCACTGGTGGGTTGTACAGCCCATGATAACAGACCCTGACCAAAACTGTAAGAGCAATTTCAGGGGAAAAAGCACGACCTAACCAGTTCAGTATTCAGTTTCCTTGTAGGCTGATGGAGTACACAGCCAGCCAGTTTGCACCAGAATAAAATCATCAACTCACTCAATTCCAGCATACGTATCATTAAATTCAGAGCTAGACTTGTCTTGCTAAAGGAAAAATTAAGTTTCCTTCAATCTTAAATATTGCATGTTGACCATAAGCCTACTACATTTTATATCCCCATGTATGAATTGGTTTGAAATTTATTCTAAGCACAGTAATGCAGTTTATTTTGTATATCAATACCTGTGGTGATGTGTTACAAATTATTAACCTCTCAGTACTTCAAAACTCGAGAACCCAAGGTGAGGAAGGAGGCAATGTATTTTTAGGAACCTAATGATTAACTGCTGCAACTACACACACTCACAAAAAGAAAGTGAGAGCTTTTGTTCTCTTCATAAGCAAAATGTTCCTCAAATACATTGTGGTTATAGCAGGTTAGTTTGCACCTTTGGGTCATTTTCTAGTATTTACCTTAAAAGCTTCCATTAAAATACAATTTCCACTGCACATATTTATGCTCTCTAGTGTTAATGTCTTTTATTTACATCTGCAATTAGCAACGAACTAGAATTAAAAGAAATAAATATATGAAATAGGTATAACTCCCATGTACAGCAAGTCCTGAAAGCAGCACTTTGCAAACACTGCTGTACAAGGTCACAGCTGCACTATTTACAAATCCTATATCCTGAGTACAGTCATTGCACCCAACCTTTCCTCTGCACAAGACTTTAAACTTCCCATTTCCACTGCAGCTTCTTTTCCCACCTGCCTGGATATCAATACACAAAACTGACAGCTCAAGAGAGTGGGAAATCACTGTTTCAGCTGCGAAGGGTTTCCATTCCCAACATCCCAGAATGCTTCCAACAGCAACAAAAACGCCAAAGACACCTCAGGACAAATGCAAGAGGAACAACAAAGCAGAACGCTGAACTCCCTAGAGAAGGCAGGAACGGGCTTGCCCTTCCAGAAATCTGGAATGCAAATACTTCCATTTGGCTTCACTAGGCCTGGATAATACCACTGGCACCACTCCTGTGCTCTACCCCAATTATTGAAAACCAGTTGTCTCAACGCAAGAAGCCAAATGACATCAGCAGTGCCCATCCAAGGTCAAACTCCACAGTCATCCAGCCACAAACACTCTCGTGCACGCTGACAATCAGCTCCTATGAGTAAGCACTGGACTGGGATTACATCTGCATCCCAGCTGGATAAGTCTCCTTGTCAGCTTATGCTCTGTCCTACATGTTTTGGTATGACAGAGGTGTACAAACTGCTGGAGAACATGATTTTTTTTTTCCAAAAGCACCACTTCCAATTTCAAACAGCCAGCACACGGACACCGGTCGAATCTGCAGCTCAGCCCCTAAATCACGAGCACAAATTTAAATTCAGGTTGTCCCACTCTCCTTCCCTCCCATCCTGTACTATTACCTTCTCCAATCTTTCAAAGTACTCTCTGATGAATCCCATGGGTCTTTCAGGTCTCACTGTGCATAACTGTACAATACAATCCTTCAGAAGCTGTTGGATGTTGTGTTTTTGGATGTAAAGTTCACACTCCCGAAGGCTACGCTCCTCCTCGCTGCTGCTGCTGCTGGAAGCTGCCATTGCTGAAGGGAAGAGAAAGAGAAAGTTAAATAACTAGTGAAAACAAAGATGCTGCTGCCCAGAAGAAAGTTATGCCGTGTTATCCTGCTGATATCACAGCATAAAACTACCTTTACCTGCCAGAGCAGAAACTAAGCTAAACAGTGAAAGAAAAGGCTGGGAACTTATTTAACACCTAGAAAGAAATCCAAAAATCTGGGGGCTCTACAGCCACAGCAGGAAAAACATTTGCTTGAGCTGAGAAAGCTTCAACAACCCAAGCCCTGTGAGCACTCCAAGCCAGGGAAGGTTCCACCTGAAGTTGCTGCCGCTTAAACTGAGTATCTTGTAGGGCTGGAGGCTCCTGTGTGGGGTCAGGGGGATGGTGGCCAGGGGAGAGGTGGGTGGAAGCAGGAAATCTGAGAGGCCAGAATGGCAACTATTCGGAAGGGAAACATGTTAAGGTTGAAGCCAGAGCCAGTTCTCCAAATGTCAGGGCAGAGCCTTGGCATAACTAACGGAAGTTACGGAATTAGAAGCATCACTCCTAAAAACCCCCCTCTCCGGTTTAAACGGGTCCCTCCTTCATAACTTATTTCATGGGTACACTGCAATCCCAACAATGCTCTTTCAACTGTAAATAATGAAGAGCATAGCTTTAAACACATCTGTGATGGTGCCAGGCTTTTACAAGACTTTACAGAGGCAGGTGGGACACTTTCAAAAATGTTTGTAGGCAGTTTTTCCCCCCCTTTCAGGGTTGTATTGGGTTTGGTAGCAGGGGGGCTACTGGGGGACTTCTGCTGGATGCTTCCCCCATGTCCCATGGAGCCAAAGATGAAACCAGCCCTGGCCAAGGCCAAGCCCGCCAGTGACAGATGTAGAGCCTCTGGGATGATGTATTTAGGGAGACAGGGGGAAATGGATACTTCAGCTGGAGAAAGGAGTGGGGATACGTGACAGAAACAGCCCTGCAGACCCCAAGGTCAGTGCAGGAGGGGCAGAAGGTGCTCCAGAGGCTGGAGACGGGCCAGGAGTAAAGTTAAGGCTGGGAAGAAGGAAGGAGGGCAGGAAGGTGTTTGTAAGATCTGGCTTTATTTCTCATTATCCTACCCCAATTTGATTGGTTTAATTTATCACCAACTTCCCCAAGTCGAGTCTGTTTTGCCTGTGATGGCAATCGGTGACTTATCTCAATCCACGAGCCTTTCCTTATGTTTTCCTTCCCTTGTCCAGTTGAGGAGGGGAGTGATGGAGCAGCTTTGCCGGGCACTTAGTGTCTAGCCCAGATCAACCAGCCACAAGGTGACAGAACCATTTACATATACATATATGTGTAAATATACATATATACACATACAGATATTTCATGTAATTTTTTCTTTCATCAGGGAATTAGCACTGTGAGATCTAAAGAAACGGGAAAGAACTTCTCAGGGCATTTTTGATGAAATATAAAGGAAGTTACCTGGTACAGGGACCGTGGCAGCAGCTTATTAAAACACAGTAGGATATGTTGATCCCGGGATCAGCTTTTGAAAGGGGGAAAAAAAAGGGATTCAGTAAAAACATCTTTCAGAAATGACAAGTCACTGAAGTCACGTCATGGGTTTTATCCTGCTGAGGCAGCAGCAGAGAAACCCAGGGCACAGAGGCAACACAAGGCTGTGCCCCTGCGAATTCTGCTGCTGGAGATTAGGGAGTTAACTCCGAACTGCCAACACTTCGGACAGGTTTCATTCCTGTCACGCCTAATCCCTGCTCAAGCACACACACACACGTGCATTTTGTGTTGCATAAACACCAAAAGCGTGGCCTTCGCAGGGGCTGAGAAAGAGCCCGAGAAAAAAGAAAAAAAACTTCTCCAGCGGCCCCTTTTGCTCCGCAGCCCCGCACCGAGGGTCAGCGCCAATTAAACAGCCCCGGGGGGACACCCTGCGTGCAGCACACGAGCCGGGCGACCCCGGCACGGAAAACAAAATGTCACGGGCACGGTGAAACCTCCAGTGTTTCC